GCCACGCTATCCCGTTTCCATGGCGACATTCAACGTTCGCACTCTAAGACAAACAGGTCAAGAGGTTGCATTCGCACGCACCTTGGACACACTGGGTATTGATGTGTGTTGTGCGTCCGAAACTAGGATCAATGACCCTAATGCGGTTGTTGAATTAACTGCACCCGGCTTATCCTCTCGTTATTGGTTGCACGCATCTGGTGACGCCGATGCAGCACTCACGAGTCAATCTGGTGTAGGTATCATTCTAAGCTCCAAGGCTGAGCCATCGTTGGTTGATTAGATTCTGGTGAACAGCCGTTTATGTGAAGCACGTTTGACGACATCAGCTAAGGTGGATTCACGAATTAGTACACAACGTTTTTTGTTCATGATTTCCGCGTATGCTCCCACCGACTGCAGTTCAAATGCTGTCAAGGACACATTCTATCACGAACTGAACGCGCTACTACGCAGTGCTATTAGTTCAGATATTATAGTAATTGCTGGGGATATAAAGGCACAAGTAGGGCGTCTGAGCTCTTCGGAAGCTCAACTGTTTGGTAGTTGTGGACTTAACTCCGAACGGACTGACAACGGTGAGCGTCTGCTGCAACGGTGTGCGGAGCACCAGTTGTTTCTTAGTAGCACTGCTTTTAGACCAGTGGGCGCCGAAGTGCCACTTGGCGTCCTCCTATAGCTGGCCAGCGATGGACTCTAATTGACCACATAGCCATAAGTTACAGATGGCGTGGTTCCATCCTAGATTGCCGCTCGTACTGGAATACCTGCGTCGACTCTGATCACGCCTTGGTACGCTGTCGTTTCTCCATGAACTTTGCCGGGAAGCGCACCAAGTGTCCCCTACGATTGGCAACGGAGAAATTGTCTCAGTCCTCGGTCAGACAAGCCTATCAAGAAGCACTGTATACCGAACTTCCGCTATATTGTCCTAATCACTCTGAGAGTCAGTGGAATAGGATCTCGGCCGCCATGCACGACGCAGGAGCATCTGCTTGTCGCATTATCAGTGGTCACCGCACCAGTCACTGGATATCCGAAAGGTCGGTGAACCTGTTGGAATCTAGAAGACACCAACCGGCTGGCTCTGAACACAATGTGACAGACGGGATATTAGGCGTGAACTAAAGCGGAGCCTACGTGCTGACAAGGAAGCATGGTGGACCAGTATGGCTCCAGAACTGGAGGAGGCAGGAGCAGTAGGTAATTACCGCAAGCTCTTCCAGCTGATCCGCACCACTGGTCCCAGGAAACCAGGCGTCAGTGAGACAATCAGATTCAGCGCGGGTACGCTGATACACAATAAAGAGCGCCGTATGGCTCGTTGGGCGGAACACTTTCAAGATCAGTTCAGCTGGCCCCCTGTTCCCAGACCTCTTTCTACTCAGGTGATGCAGGACGAGCCATGGACAGTTAGTTTAGAGCCCCTGTTGGAGGCGGAGGTCGGAAACGCGATTACAGCACTTAATCGTTTTCGTGCCGCTGGGCCGAATTCCCTCCCATCTGCCCTATTTAACGATGGAGGTGAGGTTCTCTGCAAAGCACTGACCTCCTTATTCGAAGGTATCTGGAAGACAGAGTATCCCGACAAATTGGAGCGAATCGATTATAGTTGCAATATACAAGAAGGGCAGTCGCACAGACTGTTCTTACCATAGGGGTATTAGCCTAACGCCAGTTGTGACAATATTATTGGCCTCGATTATCGTTCGTCGCCTTCCTTGTGGAACGGGAATCTCGGACTAGGGAAGAGCAGGCAGGTTTCCGTCCAGGACGTGGCTGTATTAACCGTATATTCACTCCGGGGCAGGTGCTAGGCAGCGCCACACATACCGCAGATCGAAAATAGCTGTGCTCCTTGATTTCATGAGTGCGTCCGATTCGGTCGATCGATCGATGCTGTTCGAAATACTTGCGTGGGAAGGTGTTCCCACGAAATATGTGAACATCCTTCGTGCTCTATACTCGAACACTACAGGCCGCGTCAGGGTCTACGGTGGCCTATCGGATAGCTTTCCGACCACAAGTGGCCTGCATCAGGGTTGTCCGATTTCCCCACCTTTATTCAATTTCGTCTTGGATTCTATCATGGAGTGTTCCCTTGCGGAATCTCACGATGTATTCGTTGAGGTGCTGCCTGGTGAAAGGTTAGTTGATCTAGATTATGCGGACGATATCGTCTTGCTTTTCGACGATGTTGAGGCGGCACAATCAACCCTGAATAGCCTGTCCAGAGTGGTCCCATTATTTTAAATGCACTTCGCACCTTCAAAGTGCAAAGTGTTGCTGCAGGACCATCAGCCACTTGATGACCCCCTGACGCTTGCTGACGAGGAACTCGAGGTGGTTGATCATTTCACTTATCTTGGCAGCTGCATCAGCAATGAGGGCGCATAGAAACTGACTTGAGCTCACGCATTGCAAAATCCAGAGCTACCTTCTTGAACCTGCGGCATGTTTGGCGACAGAAGGGAGTTTCCCTCCGTCTGAAAGGCCGGGTATACAAGGCCACAGTGAGGGCCGTTCTGCTGTATGGTAGTGAGAATTGGCCCCTTCGGTCTGAAGATCTGAGGCGCCTTCAAGTCTTTGATCATCGTTGTTTGCGAAGCATTGCTGGTGTCGGATGGCACCAGCGTGTCCGCAACGATGATGTGCGTAGGCGAGTACTAGGTGGGGATCATCATGCTAGCTCCCTAGAACAGCAGATAGCACTGAATAAGTTGCGTTGGCTTGGGCATGTGTTACGTATGCCTGGTCACCGCTTACCTAGGAAGGCCTTGTTTTGTCTACCAGGGGTAGGGTGGCGCAAGACTGGAGGTGGACAGAAGTTGACTTGGCAGCGGGAAATGAAGTCACTGAAGACCAAACTGGGTGCCGTTGGTCCGTCTCGCCTTCCGGGTTGGAGTCCACGTGACTCACCTTGTGTTTGGCTCCAGACTTTACAGGACATGGCTCGCAACCGACACCAGTGGTGCGTCTGCTGCCGTCTCCTAATCGGATTGTCTGCTTAAAGTGTGTTTGGTGCTGAGTTATCTGCGGGGTAATGGCTGATTATGACGCGTGGCAGTGAATGCCGTAAGAAAGCTGTCTTACCGATGCCGCCTTATCTTTGCACGATAGCCAGCTGTTTGTGACTTTATGTTGTCTACACAAAGTGTAGGCGCCTTGACCCTGAACGTTTGCATAGGGCATTAAGGTTTTCAGGTAAGTCCCCCTTCCGTCCCTCTTCTTATTCTTTATTTCATAGGTCCTCATGGTTGTATGGCAGCGAAACATCGGTTCTAATGGCTGATGTACTGCTGTTGATGATGGTGATGACGAAGAATCGCAACCAGCCACCGAACGATCGAGTGGTACGGCGACTTTTTCATGTCCAAGAGGAGCATTGGGCTTATGTGTTTTTGGTAGTTCATAGGGCCTTGGAATTACCATGCCTATTGGGCGAAGCTGCTCATAAGCGGCAACGTTAATATAGCCATCGTTTCTAAGCTTTTTGAGAGTGTTACAAAGTGGTTTCAATCTATTTTGCTTTGTCTTTCTCACCTGTGGCCTTCAAAAACTTGGTTTCATCAGCCAGTATTTCATACGTTTTGCTCACTTAGTCCACTCTGTTCATGATAACAATGCCCGCGCTCTTATCTGGTCGAGAAAGTGCAATGTCGCGGTTCCTAACTAGACGATTTGGAGCTTCTAGCTTTTGCTGTCTCACGGGGGTGTTATGTCTTATCCTCGCAAGTTGATATTGATAACAGGTATGCACTAGAAACGATTTGAAGTCATCCGCCTGCATTTCAGAAGAAGGAATCAGTTGGGACTTCTGCGTGCACACATCTTCGAACTGGGTTTCTATTGCTAGTCTATTGTCCTTTCTAGCAGAGAAGCAGAAATTAGGGCCCAATGATAACACTTGCATCATAATACGGTCAAGCGTCAGGTACAACAAATTTTAACATACCTTTTTGGATTGTTTAGGGCGTTTCGAGTCTCTACCCACCTGAAGAAGCTCTGGGTAAGCGGATTCTTTTCTCTCATTCAGCACAAAGATTCCATACACGACAGAATTCATCGCCACCTGGCTCGAAGTATATCACTGCAGTCATCCACCAAATGTTGTGGTTCCTTGTCTCAGCCTCCAAAGGGGCTAGTTGGTAGATGTACCACGGGTGGGGATAGCTGTGTAAGGACCATGACGTTACTCGCATCGATGCATAAATTAATTGAATCCCTCCAACAAGGCAGCCATGTTTGCAATAAATCGGAATCCCTACAGTTATATTTTTGTCAGAAGGATCGCCACCTGATACTAACAAGCTGATGTCGTCATAAATAAAAACGATGATACAGTTTTCTAGATAGTGCCAAGAAACAATAATGTATTAGCATGGAGGATACATCCGCTGGAAGCTAACGGTACGTGGAACAAGTTAGAACTAAGTTTCTGGCCCCGAATTGCAAATCTATCAAAATTTGTGCTGAAATCAGCGGCACAATTCTTCCATACGTTGGTCGCGCCAAATTCTGTTATTGCTGTGTTGCAATCATTTCGCCTGAATCGTTCACGGCCCAGCGTGAATTAGCATACACACCGTTACCCGGAAAACTTATTGCTCTTCTCGTGTCAGCCTGCCGCGGTAACGTCAGCATCACTAGGTTGCTGCGCTCGACTTAGTTGGACTCTACATTTTTGGGGAATTTCTGAAGTGCACAGTTGATTTATGCGCACACCTCACCATCCTCACTCCGTCAGTTCAGCAACCCTCACTCTCTTGCTTGATGTTTCACTCTGTTGTGTTCTTCATTGACCTTCAAGACTTGGTTTGTGTGTTTATGCCTCAAACATTTGACACTTGAAGCCCGACTAGACTGCAGAACAATGTATTACCATCGTGTTGTGGTTGTGTGTACACCTCCTTGCTGCATGCCCTTACGCACCCGTGCACACACACGCTTACATTCCACTAATCCAGTTTACGTTTTTCTTTGCCACCCCTTTCGCACTGATGATGCGTCCAGCCGCGGAGGAATACACTCGAAGGCAACTTGGTGCGGAAGCTAGCGGTTCGGGCATGCTGAAAACCATTTTGACCGTCGTCGGTTGCGCTGTTGCCTACTTGGGATTGATAATTGCCTTAACGGTCTTCTGCAGCATGCGAATGGTTCGTGCACGTCGAAAGCGGTCACCCAAAGGTAGGTGTTCTTGTGTGCTTTGATGTGTTTGCGCGCTTCTTTCCTGTCCTCCTCCCCTGCGGACGGACTGCATCCACTACGCGTGTTTGTGTGCGCGCGTACTGCCAGGAAAGCATGATTCCGTGATGAATGGGTCTCTGGAACTGTGTCCACTTACAAAAATTGCCTGCTCCCCTTCACCTAGCGCGGACCGCGTCCCTAACCTCACCTTCAGCTTTCTTTACTCCCCGTATTTTGGTCATTACATTGCGGAGCGACTAATTAATCATCGGATGTCTGTGGAACAATACCGCAACTGACTGTAAAACTAATGAAATATTGCAGGTATCTCGGCCTGCGTCAACCTGTCCGTTGTACTAGCCCGGTTGAATAGGTGTTTGCACATCCAAAACACTCGCCTGCCGACAGGGGTTGAAACAGTCTAGAATCAGTGCCGGCGAATGAATGACACCATGCAAGTAGAGTTGGTCAACCGATTACACTGAAACGATATCCATTTCGACGCATCTTCATCTTCGGAGTATTCCGCTGAGTGTTAGAGGTGTGCCTCTCAATACATCCCCCTCGTCGAAATCATTTAGCCCACTATTCTTATCACACCAGTCGTCATCACATGCACGAACACTCCGTGCATACATACGTTCAGACCGAAAGGCGTTGTGTATGTGTGTGATTGTGCCCGGATTTATGACAAACACTGTCTTTGACAAGCAATTAGTAAATCAATTACACAGCCACGTTCTGCTTCATCGACTAGCGGGTATATGATGAATGGGGAGAGTAGAAGGCACACACATACATACTCGCTCTCTCGAAGCAGCACACGACGTTAACATTTGAGACACTGTGGAGTGACGCGATTAGCTGCGTTATTTTGGAGTCAAGTGTCGACTGCCATCTCTGCAATCTGTTTGGCAAATGGGTGTCCGCTACGATTGCACCTAATGAATGGTTTATGTCTCACAAGCCTCAAAAGCGTCCACCTTTTCTATTTATGTGCGGCACCTCGACACTTTTGCCTATCTGGTATTTTCTTGGGCAGCCGACCGTAACATCCACAAGGCTATTCGTATTTGCGATGAGAATTACTTAGTGAACGGCAAGCAACGGAACAGGGGAATCTAAATTTCCGCACGTTTATTCAGAACATGAACAAGTTGCCCAGTGGTCTTGAAGATTGTGTCATCTGACTAAGTATAATTGCGATGAATCCTATTTGGCAAACTGCAAGGTTTCCCACTGTTCTCTTCTAAACGGAGTCTACCAAATTTTTTCAGTACAATAAGCTAATAGGTGATGTGATTTAGAAGGCCGTTACTCACGAGGTACATCCTCGTCCTCTGTACTGTCGTGAAAATGGACGTTTCTGTTTGCCCGTAGCTCTGACATCCGCATTGGTCCAAGGATCTCAGTCCCTCCTAAACAATGTATTATTTCAACAAATGTACCTGGCAAATGGAATGCACATTGCTACCAGAATGATTATTTGAACTTTCCGACCATTAATGGCCGGTTGATTCAACACAGGGAAAGGATTATTAGCTGGGACACTATAAAAGAAAATTGTCGTCCTCGTGAGAGGATTGTTGTGTTCTCCGAGGTACACAGTTTCCTAGCTCAGAGAACACAACAATCCTCGCATCCACATCCCGAGCTACAGGTATTCTCAATAATATCATTCTCGTGTTTTCAAGAGATTTCCCGTTTGTCTGGTAGTGAACGGTGTGCTTCTCAAGGATCTTGAACGCTAGATAATCCCTCATGAAATTACCAATAATAACACGAAATATGTTATACAGTCTTCTTTTGATATGAAGGATAATTCATTCGGGCACGTTTGCGAACTCATAAGCGGTTGGTTATCAACAAAAGCATAATCAGATTATCATCTATTCTTTCACTGAAGTTTGTCTGTCAGTAACTGGTGTGCTCCTTATGTTTACCAGTGAAAAGTTAGAATAACCGTAACATCTCACCTTCATTATCCGATTCCTCGTGTCAGTCCATAAAGCCGACAAACGCTCGACCAGTCAGTCGGTGAGTCATGTATTCGGCGAAAAGCCGGAAGAAAGCATTATTGATTTTCCTCTGTAATCTGTTGTTTCTTCCTATGCGCTGTCGACCCAATGGAATGTGCCCCAAAACATTAGGTAAGGGGGTTCGGTTCCCTATGCCTGAGCCTCATTGCTTGTGGCCGGTGAATTGAAGAAGCAAGATGTATCTGCTGCAAGACTTGCCTATAAGGGGGGTTCACACATGCAGTTGCGCTGAGACAAATCCTTGCTAGCCGTGACTTTGTGCGAAATCTCTTATTACCCCAGGCATTGCATACTAATGGAGGACCAAGAATCGCGCATTTCGTCGGTACATTCACGAATTTGGTTCAAGGAACGATGAATTTATACGGATTAAAAGGCGTTGCTTTACAAGTCCCGTTGGATAGTTCTTGGGAATATCGAAATAATTAATAACAATAATAGTAATAAGAATCATAATAGTTAAACCAGTTCGTACTTCAAATATAAAAATAAGAACTTATCGTTTGCTCCTCTGTAGTCCTGCAGTCCGCTTTGATTTACAGCACATACAGTTAACGCCAAATAAATCCACGGTAAATTCCAGATGTAGGATGGAGACCTAGCGTCAAGTGACATTGTGTAAGTAGATGAGTGCGGCATCTAACCGTCCTTTAAATACGCTTACTGTCCTTGCAGCGACGACCGATTGTGGCAGGGCATTCCACGGGTGACAGACACGAATGGAAATGAAATTGCTGCGGCCCTCCAGGCGGCTCCACTGTACAGCGAGTTTCAATATGTGGCCCCTCGGCGTTGTATTGGTGCTGAGTCGCAGTAAGGAGCGGCAGTAAAGAGCGGTGGGTCTCGCAGAATCAGGTCATCTCGCAGTCTGCAATAGCTTCCGCTGAATACCCCCAATCGTTGCAGACCCTGCTGGTATGAAAGATGGCGCATTCCAATTATGTTCTGAGATGCACGACTTTGTGGCTGCTCCAATGCATTAAGGTCGGGGTTCAGCCATGGATGCCAGATTGGAATCGCATATCCGACTTGAGGGGCGAACATACGCAGTGAGCATTCGTGTAAATATGGAGCTTTTTATTTGTCCGAATGCCCGTGGCAACAGCCCGAAGTGCTGGTTCTCAGCATTCGAGGCCTTTTCGGAAAACCTGGAGTAACGCAAGTCATCTTGAACCAGGACACCCAAGTCACGTTCGAGAGTTGCTTGTTGCAGTAAATTCGTTCCGAGCCGGTATGAGTAGCTGCTCTGGTGTCAGCTGGAAAGTACCTTACATTTACTCATGCTGAAATGTACTAATTTTTGGGTTGACCATTGATATCCCGTATCTAGGTCACTCTGAAATAGATGCTGTTCGGTGTTCGGCTGGATTCTGCGCCAGATCTTGATATCGTCGGCAAACATTAGGAAGTTTTTACCGAATCTCTGTGCAAGGTCAGTAATAGACACCAAAAACAAACGTGGACCTAGAACTGAGCCTTGCTGCACACCACACTCGACTTGTATGGGGTCCGCTAAAGAGCTCTGAACTCTGACCACCAAATGCCGTTGAAGTAGAAATTTGGCAACCTAGCTTAAAAGTGCGTCGCCGATTCCGTAATGCTGGAGCTGGGAGAGTAGTATCCGATGGTCTCGACGATCTAAAACTTTCGAAAAATCCAGCTAGATCACATCAAGGCCTTCTGTAGCGTCAGCTGTCTAGGTCCAATTACTGATGCCATTAGGAAATTCGTTGTCCAGATAACACACCAGTACATCGGCAACTATTGATTTCATGTGCTTGGAGCGTATAGGAAGAGGCAATACTGGCCGGTAGTTGGAGAAACCAGTTCTGCTCCCACCTTTGTGAATCGGGGTTATTATTCCAAGCTTCCACATGGCGGGAACTTGATTCTGGTCTACGCAGCTCTGGAAAAACTGAGCTAAAAGTCATCCCAGTTGGCTTGCTGTTGCTTACAGTGCCTCTGGACAAATGGTATCGACACCCGGCGAGCTGTGTTTGCGTAGAAACGTCAGGTTTTGCAATACAGCTACCGCGGTAAAACAGGTGCGGGTTAGTCCTGGCGGAGAGACGACAAATGCTGGTTGCAAGACTCTCTGAAAGGTGGGGGATTATTGCATCCGCAGCAGGTTTGCTGCTTCCACAGCCGTTCTAGTTAGGCCATCAGCCGTCCCGAGTGGAGGCAACCCTGACCTCACCTTTTTTAGGCTATTGACGTGCTTGTACAGCAGTTTGTGGGTAGAACTGAAGGTTTTTGCGACGTTCTGCTGAAATGCGGATTTGTCTTCTCTTAACAGTTGAGTAAAGTGGTTACGTTGGGCTACGTAGTTGTCCCAAGTTCCTGGTGCTAGAGCTTCTCTGTATAATCAGCAAGCTGCGTAGCGCAATGTCATCCATTTTCGATTTCTGCTGCTAACGAAAGAAACTGATGTATACTTATTGCAAACGCTTATTTCTGAGGCGTCTGCATTCAGCTGACTGAATTTGTTGACGAACTCGAGCCAGGCAACTTCCGGGGGTTCTTCAGCAAGGATCAACCAACTTGTGACGCTGACGAACTGGGCTAATCGGTCGTAGCTTGTGATGGTTCGCACAGTCTCATCGTTCTCATTCAGATATTCTGCATAGCACACGAAGTTGAAACTGGTGACTACGTGATCACTGCGACCAAATGGGTAGTCTAAAAACCAACACATCAATCCTATGCTCCTCGTTGCTAAGCACAAGATCCAGCACGGTGGGCCTGTTACCTGTTCTGAACCGAGTGGGCAAAGTGATGTGTTTGTAAAGAGGTACAGTGGTTAAGAGATCTTGTGGGTCAGCTTTGAATTGTCCTCCGATCGTGGCAGGAGTTTCTAAGCAATGTAGCTTGAAATCACCTACGATAAGTATGCGAATTTACTTTCGTTGTAAACTGCATCTTAAAGCAGCCGCTATATGGTAGTCCGTTTCGGGTTTAGAG